GCGGCTGTGCGACTACGCATACTAGCGACACCACCTTTGGAAGGTTCAAATCAATCGCCCCCACTATACGCTGGACAGCCTATCCCAGCTCTGCTGTCGATTCAAACTTCCTTCCACTGGGGCACAAAACAGGACGCAAACCATACATCATATCAAATGCGATTCGACATTGAAGAGTTGGTGCGAGATTGGCTTATAAGTGGTCGAAAACGAGGGGACTTTGAAGCAAAGGTGTGTACGAGTTTTGTATGATCTACCTGTGGTTACTGAACCAAAGAACTGCCAAAAGGACGGGTCGGTTTTCACCGTTCCAATAACGTTAATTGCTCTGCACCACGGGGAGCTATCGTTACCTAAAGTGGTGGTTTCTTCAGTACCCATTGTTGGGGAAACATCCACGATGGGATCATTACCCAATACCGAAACTCACCAGGTGCAAGGAGCAGAGAAAGTGCTTATTCTTCCCAGAGGCGGTCGAAGTACCTTTATCGTTGGGATGGGAGAGGGAGCGTCGGACTGACTACATAATTTGTTCGATTTGGACCGACGATGCGGTAGTAGATACTTTCGGTCCCTGGCCTTTGCAAAAAAAAAAAAGCATTAAACATTTCCAGCCTCAACAACACATCGCAAGTACTTTAAGATTTAAATAGTCGTATACCAGAATGCATTCGATGGGACGCAGGGTCTTCCTTTTTTTATGAATTGAGGAAGTGGAGATCATAACTTAGTAGAGGGAGAAATTTTCGGAATATTAGTTACCTTGCAGATTTTGGAGTTATCAAATGGTTATCTAGTTATCCCCTTTGTCACCTGCTATTGTTTTTGATCTTGCTATCGCTATAATGCCGGAACTGCTGGAACAGAGCACAAACACAAGCGCGGACTTGGATACGACGCCGAAACCAAGGCCGTCGTTCGAATCACTCGGGCTCATAGAACCTCTTTTGGAGGCTATTGAACGACTTAATTACAAAGCTCCGACTGATATTCAGGCCGAAGCACTCCCCTCTGCGCTCGCGGGCCGAGATATCATCGGTGTCGCCTCTACTGGCTCCGGAAAGACGGCGGCCTTTGCCCTCCCAATCCTTCAGAAACTATGGGACGAGCCAAAGGGATTCTTCGCATGCGTACTTGCACCGACACGCGAGCTAGCAGTACCAGATATCTCAACAGTTCGAAGCACTTGGTTCGGCTATGGGCGTGCGCTGCACGGTCCTCGTAGGTGGAATGGACATGGTGACGCAGTCGATCGCTCTGGCCAAGAAACCGCACATCATCGTGGCAACTCCTGGACGACTGAAGGATCACTTGGAAAACACGAAGGGGTTCAGTCTGCGCGGCCTCAAGTTTCTGGTGAGCAGCACCTTGCCAGCTGACCTATCATGCAGCACTGCGCATAAAGCGAGCTGAGCCTTCTTCAACAGGTACTTGACGAGGCGGATCGTCTATTGGATATGGACTTTGGACCGGATATCGACGCCATTCTGAAGGCTATCCCGAAAGAGCGTACCACATACCTGTTTTCTGCGACGATGACCACCAAAGTCGCGAAACTGCAGCGCGCGAGCTTGACAAACCCTGTTCGAGTTGAGGTGTCGACAAAGTATGTGCATTGCACCCCGTCGTCTTCTGTGGCCGCAATCTTATCCCCCTCACGCAGGTATTCCACAGTGTCCACCTTGCTGCAGTACTATCTTTTCATACCCCTGTCACAAAAGGACGTTCACCTCGTCTATCTCGCCAATTCACAGGCTCAAAATTCCATTATAGTCTTCACACGGACAGTTCACGATGCTCAGCGGTGTGTCTGCCTCGTTTGAGTGAATGTGCTCAAATACAAGCCCCGACTAGGCTCTCCATTGTGTTGCGTAACCTAGGTTTTGCGGCGGTCCCTCTGCACGGACAACTAAGCCAAAGTCAACGGCCTGGGTTCTCTGAGCAAATTCCAAAGCGGATCCCGAAAAATTCTGGTAGCCACGGATGTGGCCAGTCGGTATATAACCCTTTCTGGGTGTGTACGTATGCAGAAGCTGACTACATTTTTCAGTGGTCTCGATATCCCAGCAGTGGACATTGTCATCAACTTTGACATCCCTACACATTCAAAAGATTACATCCACCGGGTTGGCCGCACGGCACGTGCTGGACGTGCAGGAAAATCAATCACGCTCGTCACTCAATACGACGTTGAATTAATTCAACGAATTGAAGCCGTGACTGGTAAAAAGATGGACCTATGGCCCACAGACAAGGAGGAAATAGCCCTGTTGCGTGAACGTGTCGAAGAAGCGGGTCGACTGGCGGCTACAGAGCTTAGGGAAGAAGGCGCAAAGAACGGACATCGGAAGCGAAGAAAGGGGGACCGAGATGATAGAGATGTCCGCGATCGAGATGACGACGTCGTTCAGGCAGGAATGCCGACGAAAAAACGTAAAAGTAAAAGATAACTTAGGCACAGTTGCATTCCGTCGTTACTCCCGGAATAATTGTGGATTCAATTCATGAACATGATATCCGAGCGGAGGACTGTATTTGGTGCCGCTTCGAACCTGGGAACCCTCGTGAAGGAGACACTCGCCACCGTGTCTAAATAAACGTCAGCCCCATGGAGACGTGCCGGAAGCCGTATTTATGGTGCAATACGAACCTATGAAGAAGGGCGGTGCCCCGTGTCAGAGGTACGACCATAGCCTCTGAGGCTTTGGCTTTGCTATTAGGATAAAAAATGGTCTGCAAGGTGTCAAGCGAAATTCCCGGAGTGGGCATATGCTGCCTACTACTGTACATACCTCCCCGCCCCGCACGCCATCCTCAACTCCAGTGACGTATATAAGCAGTGTCCATTCTGAGACTGCGCCAGTCTTGGCATCACGAACAGAATCGTCATAATGCGGGTTGAAACGCTGCGACGGCGTATACTTGTAGACCCGAATGTTCGAGTTCAGTGAATGTGCCATCCGAGCACCCGCACCTGGCGGTGTCACAGAAGCGGGATATGGAAACGATGGCAGATGGGGGCGTAATACGGTCCAGAGACGACCCGCAAACTCGGGTGAAGAGATGGACACTCTATCTACGACGACACCAGGTTCAGTAGGGGTCGACCGCTGTCAACGAAAGGCGGCCGAGGCGGCCGAGAAGAACCCACAGTTGATCCTATCTGCCTCCCCACGTTTCTTGGGTGGTGTCAGCTCCAGGGGCTGTCTGTCAATAAAGTCGACAAAGGTTTGGCACTCTGCTGGAGTGAAAATATTCTGACAGATGTCGGATTTGGATGCAAGGGCGGGCAAACACCGAGACAGACACACCTTCAGCAACAAGACCTGGTCCTCCAGGAATGTATCACACCGGACGTGATTTTTCTCTGAAAGCTCAGGGAAGATGACCGCTTTTGGGGCGGGCTTGGGAACGGCAGCAGTGGCAGCTGCAGCTTTCTTCTTGACCATCTTATTGGTCTTTGGACATCACGATGATGGCCTCATATGGTAGCGATTGTTCAACTGAGTCATTCGCACTTATCACAATCGCCGTCTTAATCACGCACAACGATGCCGACCTCACGAGTGATCAACTTTGGCCCGGGTCCCTCTGCCCTTCCTCAGTCTGTGCTTGAGAAGGCCACCCAGGGGCTGCTCAATTTTAATGAGACAGGTATCGGGATCGCCGAGATTTCGCATCGCTCCAAGGAGTTCGTCGCGTTTCTTTCCAACATCGAGTCTCTCATTAGGACTCAGTTGGACGTTCCCTCGACGCACTCTATCCTCTTCACGCAGGGCGGCGGGACCGGCCAGTTCTCAGCCGTCGTGCTGAACCTCCTCGCGCGCCACAGGTTACTGTACCCAGAGCTCACTGACGACGAGCGTGTTATGGACTACGTCCTCACGGGCTCGTGGGGCGAAAAAGCCTTTCAGGAGGCCATGCGCCTCGGCGGCGCCCGCGTGAACGTCGCGCTCGACGCACGCAAGTACTCCAAGGACGGCGTATCGTTCGACAACGTGCCGCCGCATGGCGAGTACGCGTTCTCGCCTGCGCCCGCGTTCATCTACTACTGCGAGAACGAGACGGTCGACGGCGTGCAGTTCTCGGCGGACCCGTCCGCGCAGACGTCCTTCCCGTTCGCGCGCCTCCCGCGCGAGCGCAGCGGGCTGCTCCCGCTCGTCGGCGACCACTCGTCCTCGTTCATGTCCCGTCCGATCCCGCATCTCGCCGAGCACGCCGTCATCTTTGCGGGCGCGCAGAAAAACTTGGGCCCTGCGGGGCTCACGGTCCTCATCGTGCGACACGACTGCCTCGTCGACGTCGACGCGGCGGCGAAGCTTGGCGCGGTCCCCGTGCCGCTGTCTCTGTCCTACAAGACGCTCGCGGACAGCAAGAGTCTGTACAACACCCCGTCGATGCTCCCCATCTACATCACTGGGCTCGTTCTCGAACGCATGCAAGAGTTAGGCGGCTTGACGTACTTCGAGGCCCTCAACAAAAAGAAGGCAGAAAAAGTGTACGCGGCCATACGGTTCGGCGAGGAACGCGGAGTGTTTCAAGGAAAGGTTCAAGACGGCTCAGGCAGTTGGATGAATGTTGTCTTTAACGTCCTCGGCGATGGCGCGGAATCACGCTTCCTTACCGGAGCAGAAGGGGCAGGGATGAAGGGCTTGAAAGGTCACCGGTGAGACATTCGCTAGTAGACCTGTCGACGTTCCGCTTACGGTCCCGATGTGGATTAGGTCGGTTGGTGGTGTGTATCAATGACGTTCTTCGGAATCCAGGAGAAACGCTTAACTAATTGAATCCGTTGCAGGCATTCGCGTGTCGCTCTATAACGCTATCACGGAATCTGACACCGACAAGCTAGTCGGTTACATGAAGGACTTCGTTTCCGAGGCTGGCGCTCAGGCTTCGGTTTAAAATTTAGCTGTTAGATAGACTTTGTGTGTTAGTTACGAGAGAATGGGTTCGTCCATTCATGCGTCTTGAGTACCAGTCAATGTGAATTATATGCATGCCCCATGGCTGAGTTGGTTACAGCGTCCGACTGTTATCCTCGAAAGTGGACAGCTCATCGGAAGGTCGTGAGTTCGAGCCTCACTGGGGCAGTTCCTTTTTCACTCTATCTTCTATTTTTCACTGGAAGCTGGCTTTCACCCACTGCTTTGTCTAGTTGGACAACGGTGTATTGCACATTGTATAGGAACAACTTGTACAGGAATACCTAGAGCGGATACGTGTACACTTTATAAGAATGAGAAAAGGGGGAGAGACTCGGAACATCATAGATAGATGCGTTGGGGTGAGAAGGATGGGGAACGTGCAGCTAAACCCGGATAACACACAAAGGCACGGAATAAATATCAGCACAACTGGGCGTACAAACAACGAATAGCGAAATGAAAGAACGTTGTACGGTCATGGTCACAAAAATCGTCAGATGAGGATGGATGATATGTGAAGAGATGGTAAGATAAATGCGATGAATAGGATCACAGTTGATGATGCTGGGATGAGTGAAAAGAGGCACGGGTGAATCCGGATGGTGAGGAAGATGATGGGAAGGTCCGTTGATCAAATAGGGAATGGTGACGTGAGGAAGGGGGTGGCAATTAAATGGGACTCCTAACTCGGTCAATGTCACAGCGCTTACACGGGCGGCTAATGCATTGGTGCTGGCCTAGGCGTCATCGCTGGCATTAAGCCGACGAATTGCACTCTCGAAGGTGATGGAAACCGTGGTGGTGGTGTTGACGTGGCACTCGGTGGAGACGACACAAGGGGTACAATTGGCTCTGTCCGATCTCTTGAGATAGTTATGGACTTGCGGCGACGAACAGGCCCAAGACTTGACGCCAGCATTGACTCCGCCGATGCGAGCTGTGAAAGATCGGAATCCCATGGATTCCCTGCCGTAAGGACGGGGTCGTCCAGGGCGGAAATCCAGGGAAGTGAATCAAAATTGATTACTCGTGGGGCGATAATAGCCTTCCGGACGAATGTTGTATCGCCGACGACGAGGGGTACGCGGGGGGCAGCCCACCTGTCGCTTGATCGAGCTACAAGGTGTAGGAGACTGAGACGTCTGTATGGAAAAAAATTGATTGGTGAGCGATTAGGTGACATAACGTAAAAGGGACGTACCAAAGAACGCTTTGTACGGTGAATGCGAATTGGAGACATGAGGCGAGGAAGCTGAGCGTTCTTTGGGGCAGGTGTATGGACACTGCAGTAGGGAACGTGTGAGGGTTCGATAAGGCATTCTCAGAGATGAGAAATACTGACGATGAAAGGGTCGTCGAGGTTGATGGGTAACACGGGAACGGATGGGTCGATAATTGTCGGCTGCGGGAGTAAACGACGAGGCTGGGGCGCGATAATGGGAGTCGGAGGCATTGTGGATCTCAGTCGAGGGATGGCCGGGGCGAGCACAAGTGAACGGGTGAATTGAATTGGTGGCGTTTCGAAGTGGGCGTACTGGGGTCGAAAAGGAAAGGAGAGACTAGAGTTATATGGAGAGGGAGCGACAATGGGGGAGAGCGTAAGGATACCGCGTGTCAAAAGCCGGTGCACGTTGCCGCCGCCTCGTTTCGCTGACAAATCATACCTAATATGGCGAACAATGGCCCGCCGCTCTGAGCCTCGTTTTACAGCGTCGCCCGAGTAACGCCATTGTGCACCCATTCTCGGGAATGAAATCAATGGATAGCGCCGACGATCGCACGTATGGCCATGGGAACATAATTCCATTGATATCACGTTCATGGCAGCTGGCACCCGTGTGGACAGTGTGGGTGTTACCATTGATGTGAGGCAGTAGAGTGGAAGCTAGGTACTTATTCGGTACGGTGGCAAAATATTACCATCGCAGCTATTTGCCTATGCTGTCTATTTCCATGCCAGACCCGATGTCTGTTGCCGGCGTTGCGTGTTCCATGCATAATCCGTCAAGCGCAGGGGAAAATTTTGTTCTTTTAATGGATGGATAGATTGATGATGCAATAGACAAAATTATGGAAGGAAACGAATGCGAGAGCAAAATACAGAGACAAGTGACGGCAAATTTTCCGTAATCCCCTTCAAATAGGTAAAGTCCATACCAACTCTAGTCGATCTCCTCCATTGCAGATGCAGGAGCACCTTCCGTTTCCGCGGGAGCCGCCTCCTCAGCAACGGGCACTGTCTCTTCTTCCTCGTCGACATCAAGACCAAGCCTGGAATCATCACGGATTGCTTAATCGCAATACGTCAATGCAGGGAATATCCACTCACGAGATCATGCGATGAATCCGCTTAGCAAAGGATGTCGGCTCCTCGAGTGAGAAGCCAGAAGTGAGGAGAGCAGTCTCGAATAATAGGTATGTGAGGTCCCGGACAGACTTGTCTGCCTTGTCCTCAGTGACTTTGCGCCGGAGCTCTTTGACGATTGGGTGCTTGGGGTTGAGCTCGAGGGTCTTCTTGGACGCCATGTAAGATGACATGGAAGTGTCACGGAGCGCCTGGGCTTTCATGATACGTTCCTACACACGCCGGATCTTATCAGTCCCGAGTCAACAGATCAAAGCACGAGGAAAAACCCACCATATTCGATGACCAACCAAATTGGCCAGTGACAAGTACACAAGGCGAGTCTGAGATACGGTTGGACACAACAACCTTCTCGACCTTGTCAGCCAAGTGCGTCCTTGATGACCGAGCATAAGTCCTCGTAGGATTTAGCCTCCTCTTCGCGCGCTTTCTTCTCCTCATCCGTCTCCTCGAGCTCAAGGCCTTCTTTCGAGACCGACTCGAGCTTGTGACCCTCGAATTCCTTCAGCTGAGATACCGCGTACTCGTCAATAGGGTCCACCAGCAGTAGAACCTCGAAGCCCCTTTTCCTAAGGACCTCCAAGAACGGAGAATCCTTAATGGCAGCAAGAGATTCACCCGTAAGGTAATAGATTGCCTTCTGTCCAGACGGCATGCGTGTAATGTAGTCTGGTAATTAAACATGAGAAAGAGATATCTGGGACAAACATGCAACACACCTTTGAGGGTGATCGTATCATCGACAGACTTGGTCGAGTGGAAGCGGAGGAATTCGGCGAGCTTGCTGCGGTTTTGAGCGTCCTCGTGAATTCCGAGCTTCATGTTCTTGCCGAATGCATCATAGAACTTCTGGAAGTTATCCTTGTCTTCCGCGATCTCCGTGAACAAATCCATGCATTTCTTAACGATGTGTTTGCGGATGACTTTAAGGATCTTGTTCTGCTGAAGAGTCTCACGCGAAATGTTGAGCGGCAGATCTTCGGAATCGACAATGCCCTTGACGAAATTGAGGTACTCTGGAATGAGGTCCTCGCAGTCGTCCATGATGAACACTCGACGGACGTAGAGCTTGATGTTGTTGCGCTTCTTTTTGCTCTCGAAGAGATCGAACGGCGCGCTGAGACAACCAGTCAGATACGAGCGTGCAAACAAGATACACGACTTACCGCTTCGGGATATAGAGGATGGCCTTGAACTCGAGCTGGCCTTCGACAGAGAAATGTTTGACAGCAAGGTGTTCCTCCCAATCATTGGTAAGAGACTTGTAGAACGACCCGTACTCTTCTTGCGTGATGTCGCTCGGGTTGCGAGTCCAAATGGGTTTGGTTTTGTTGAGCTCCTCGTTGACCTTGCTCTGCTCCTTGACCTTTTTCTTTTTCTTCTCTTTGGCCTTGTCTTCGTCTTCGTCCTCCACTTCTTCAACCTTGGACTTTGCCTCTTCGTCCTTGGCCTCTTCCTCCTCTTCTTCCTCATCGACCTCCTGCGACACGCGATTTAGAGATGCGAAGTAGACCATGGTGTAATCAAGAACGAACCTTCTCGACCTCCTTGGTGACAACGAGTTGAATCGGGTACGAGATGAACTCAGAGTGCTTCTTAACAATGTCCTTGATCCGTTTCTCCTCTAGATACTCAGTCTGGTCCTCCTTGAGATAGAGGCGGACCTCGGTACCACGACCGAGAGGTGGGTTCTCAGTATCAAGAGTGATGGTGAAAGTGCCACCTGCGGCCGACTCCCAGATGTACTGCTCGTCATCGTTGTTTTTCGAGATGACCTGGACGCGTTCCGCGACGAGATACGCGGAATAAAAGCCGACACCAAACTGGCCGATCATAGATATGTCAGCACCTGAGCTGAGTGCTTCCATAAAGCCCTGCGTGCCACAGTACGTGAGGAAAAACGGCGCCGGCGAGACAGCGGAGAGCTTATACCTTTGTGCCGGACTTGGCGATGGTACCAAGGTTGTTGACCATGTCGGCCTTGGTCATGCCAATGCCACTGTCACGGATGGAGAGGATCTTATTTTCTTTGTCTGGGATGATCCGAATGAAGAGCTCCTTTTCGGAATCGAGGACAGAGGGGTCAGGTAAGGGAAGCATAGCGAATTTTGTCGAGAGCATCGGAGCCATTGGAGATGAGTTCACGAAGGAAGATCTCTTTGTTGGAATAGAAAGTGTCTGACAAGCGAAGTCAGATATCGCGTGAAACAAGAATTACGCGAAGATAACGAGACTGACTGATGATCAGATCGAGCAACTGAGAGATCTCAGCCTGGAAGCCAAAGCTTTCTGGTTCAGGGGGCAGACATGTTTTTTCTTTTCGCAAAGGGGAAGTAAAGGAGGACTCTAGGGCGATGAGGGAACCAAGGTGAGCCTTTGACCTTTTTAATCTCACCCAAAATTTGTTCTCGAAGTTTCGACGCGCATCTTGCAATTATTCCCACGCTCGACTATCATTCGAGAATGTTCCTCCGTTAACCAAATCTAGTATTACACTATGGCCGCAGCACTGCACCTCCTAACACTGGGCTACGCGTGGGCTCGCCTAATAGTCCTGAGTGCCCGCTTACCTGCGCCCGTAGTAGCTCGACCATCGCCTTCAATTCTTCGATTTCGTCCTGAAGCTCCGCGTTGTCATCCCGTAGTTTCGTATTTGCTTCTTTGAGTCTCGTGATTTCCCCTGCATGAGACGTCCGAGGTGTCCGAGGTGGTGCTTTGCTGGGAAGTAGCTTCAGCTTCGCCTCCATTGTCTGGATTTGCCGACGTGATGTCCTGGTGCACAAACCTTGTCTCAATACGAC